ACGCTCGCGTACACGCAGACGCGCCCACGCATTCCCATCCACATTGCAGGCTACGCGAGGGGAGAGCGGCCCGCGGTGCGACAATCAGAGCTGGCGCACAAAAGGCTGTGAAAAAGGCGGCGCCGAGCGGCGCACGCGCTCCCGCGGCGGCGCGGCCGTGGGCGCCCTTCCGGCGGCCCCCGCACAGTGGGCCGCTCCGCACGACGCGCACTCGCTCTCCGAGACAGTCACAGACATATCAACATACAGTACAATTGCAAAACAATTTAAAAAAATACAATTAATTATCCTGCAGCCCCCTAGCGCATTCAGACATTTACAATATATACATATGCACACAAAACGCAGATCCAAGAATTTTGGAACAAATTAAAGCTTAGAGCCTATGTGGTGGACACCTTACTTTTACTCTTTGTATGGTGAAGATCACTGATTCGAATGTTACACAAACATCACTGGTGTGACGGATATCATACTTAACAGTTCAATACTAAGAAATATCTCAGAGTGTAACCTTAGGCATAATTTGTGAATATTTAACTTATCTCATTGTTACACTAAACTTGTATTCATTTAACGTAAAATGATTTTCAGTCGATACACATTCTGAAGTGCGAGTTGTTACTAGCAATTAAGTTGTTTACCTTAAGTGTCTTGGGGAACATTATTGGTCTAGAGAATGTGGTGTTTTCTGTTTTCCATCACAAAAGCGACGAGAAACCGTTCCAGTGTTCCCAATATTTCAATATTATTTAACATTATTAATATCAGCAAGTCCGGCTAGTGAGAGTAAGAGGAATCCCTTTTTGTTCCAGAGTACCGCGTCGCTTACTCATGAAACCAATATATGGATTGGGTTGCGCTGGTAGTTGTTCTTTAATTTATTAATAACGCAAAGTCTTTGTGGTACCTAACCCTTATGTTAATGATAATTTACTCAAATTGGCAAAGCCTCTTTCCGGACACTGTCCTGTTCAGTTTTAATATAATATTGATGTTATATTTTCCATGTTTCAATATTAAAATCGTGAAACCAATAATGTTCGATAAGACACTTAAAGTAAACATCTTAATTGTTTGTAACATCGATTTATACAATCTTAGGCGCCGGAACACGCCACAAATTGATCATTAATTTAAAAGAAATAGTTATATATTTATAATATAATTTAATCATTATTTTCCAGTCTCCAGAACGCCGATGCATCGCGTTCCACGAAAAATCAAGTCCTGTATGTGTGAAATATATATATATATATATATATATATATATATATATATATATATATATATATATATACTCACGTTTACTTATATAAACGTACACATACCTTCTACATACCTTACACATACATTAATTACTTTCGAGAACAGGCAACTAATGCCAACAGTAATTCATACTACATTCTGGTATTAGCGACCAACTTCGTGTAAACGGTAGTATCTCATTGCATTTTGCTTCGAAACCCGGAATGTCTTATGCTATTGTTTTTTAACATGCTTTATATAATTAAAAGTTTAATATTGTGGATACATTTTTAAGTTTAATGAATGGTCAAAGTCATGTAATCTCTAACGTAATACGAGCACATCCATATGAATTTTGGCCCTATAAGATGGCATTCAAATTCATTGAGTGAATCCACGTTATCTACCACATGGAATATCCATAGAAACACCCAGCCTATCTCGCCGTCTGTCGACTTGCCTTTCGTTGCGTGGCACTGTGCGCGGCACGCACCAAGCCACGCGGGCGGGCGGGCGCTTTCCGCGTGGGGCGTGGGGCGAGGGGCGCGGCCCGAGAGCAGTGTCAATGGCGGATCGGGCGACGAAGACCCATCGCCGCCGCCCATTACGCCTCGTTAGCGCTAATGCGCCTTGGGCCTGGGCCTGGGCCGTGGGCCGAGCGTCTTCTAGAAGCTTCGGGGCCGATGCGCCCGCCCGCGCCCACTCACTCCCCCCTCCCCACACGCACGCCCACGGCCAAGGGCGGCTTCTCAAAACATCAAGGGGAGGGGCCACTTCTCACCAATCATTTACTTTTGGTAGAAACTACGCATAAATACATTGCTTTCTACTCGAATACATTGATTTATAAGAAGTTTGCAAATTAAACATCGAAACAATATTTTGTTAATACATCGACCAATACTTCAGAGAAATTCTACCAGAAATTATTTTGGTTTGAATACTATACCAATCATGAAAATATATTAAAATATAATTTAAAAACTTAAAAAAAAATGTTCACGTGGTGAATGGGCGAGGACACTGTACTACTTCAAGAACTTTGTGGGACTACGCCATGAAAATTATTTACTTTCTCTTATAACCACTATGCTGTACCATAGAATATTATAAAGTTTTGTAATGATGCAAATATTAAACTCAGAGATTTATTACGCGTTTTTATGGCACCTGATTTTGAAAAGTTTTTCAAAATACCTCTGCCCGCATATTCTTTTGCTAACCTCTCCCTATAAGCAACCCTTCATCTAAACCATACTCTGCATTTTCACGATTTCAATATTGAAACATGGAGAATATAACATCAATATTATAATAAGGAACTATAATAACTGAACAGGACACTGACCGGAAAGAGGCTTTGCCAATTTGAGTAAATTTGCATTAACGTAAGGGTTAAGTGTCACAAAAGCTTTGCAAGTGTTATTAATAAATTAAAGAACAACTACCAGCACAACCCAATTCAAAGATTGGTTTCATGAGTAAGCGACGCGATACTCTGGAACAAAAAGGGATTCCTCTTACTCTCACTAGCCGGACTTGCTGATATTAATAATGTTAAATAATATTGAAATATTGGGAACACTGGAACGGTTTCTCGTCGCTTTTGAGATGGAAAACAGAAAACACCATATTCTCTAGACCAATAATGTTCGCCAAGACACTGAAGGTAAACAACTTAATTGCTTGTAACAACGCGTACCACAGAATGTATTTCGACTGAAAATCATTTTACGTTAAATGAATACAAGTTTACAGTAACAATGAGATAAGTTAAAAATTCACCAAATATAAGAAAAAACTTTCGCCATATAATGGACGATAGATTATGCTTGAGGTTACAATCTGAGATGTTTCTTAGTATTGAACTGTAAAGAGAAATAACCATCATACCACTGATGGCTTTTTCTTTAAAATTTGTGTAACATTCGAATTAGTGGTCTTCAGCATTATCAAACACTGACAAAGCGTAAAAGTAAAGTATCCATCATGTAGGTCCGAAACGTAATTTGTTTAATAATTCTTATAGCTGCGTTTTGTGTGTATATTTATTGTATCATACGTGAATTGAATCATATATAAAAGCGCAGATAACAATATTAAGTCGATTGGACGTTGCGTCGCTTCAATAGGATTGTTGAGATTACAGGTATCTCAGTATGCACGAGCGGTCAGAACAACTCAGGAAGTCACGATTTCGCGACGGCATGAGGTTCAGCGGAATGGCAATGGTAGTGTAAGATGAACATTTGCCGCAGCGCTACTGTTCAAAGAAAGACACTACAATTACAAGATTCTCATGATTTTAAATATCAATTTCAAGTACGAACGAGAAATAAAAGTTACCACAGGGCTTCATTTAAGCTTTGACTTCCTATATATTCACAATTCGGTTAAATAATATCTGGATTCACTGAACACGACAGTAGAACTGAGATGGTCACAAGCAGATAGTTGGAGGCAACTTCAGATTGATGCTGATGGTGAGACATATTCTTCGTCTATAACTATACGTTATATAACAAAATGAAACTGGCTTATTCTTCCCTTTTGTTGTCAAAATTAAATACAACATACACACAGAAAAAAAAGGTAATATATTTTTTCGCAATGACGCACAAGACTATTAATTGAAAGCCTTGAATTACACTGAATGTGGCACTATTCAATGAGACAGAACGGAATAATATTGTAATATTATTTTGTTCGTCATTTAATTCATTCTTCTACACATGTCCCTACCTGTCCTGTACAAGACACATTCTCGAATTCCAGCACTCGTATAGTAAGGCACTTTGCACAAGTACATTGGTGCACGTGCCTGAAGGAACTGAAATGATTCCACGTACACCGCCATCTCGGATAAGCAGATGCATTTATAACGGTCCCTCTTTAAGATTATATGCACATAAACCGTAGCTTTATTTCATTTGTCATATTAAGTACAGGATAACGCGTAACGATTGGCTATTAGTCACGTACACGATATATTTGGTCTCTGCAATTAAAATATGTAGCGGTAAATGTAAGCTACCAATTCTTGTAAGGTACAGGTATAAAATGAAAATATTAGAATAGATACGCTTGATCATAATCTTCTTCAACTTTAATTTTTTCATTCGCGATCTTCCAGAAGTAGCTAAATGTATTTTTCTTGCAGAAATGTTCTGTAACACAAAGAGCATGAGAAAAGTCGCAGTCGAAAATTGAATCCAATCTTGAAATTATTTGAAATGGCATCGGCCCCAACCTTTCCTCTTTTCTAGATACGTCGTACATGAAATTAAATTGAGAAAAACACACTATCTGACAGGAAAGACTTTTTGCCATGAGAACTATTCCCCATTTCATTATTTTAAGTGGCACACAATGGATTCAATTGTTAATCCTTTTTTGAGCGACTTTTAGTTCTCCAAAACTTAAGGCTGATCAGAAGGAAAGAGGGGAAATGGCGTCGAAGGAGCATCTATGCGTAAGCATAGAGGAGAGTGGCCGCACAAAAATGAAATTAACGCAATGGAGGAAGACCAAAAACTTCCCAGTTCATACGATGATAACAACTGTCCGTTGAATATCGAAAGAGTCCGTCGAAATTAAAATATACACATATTCCCCCAACATTCCATATTTAGCGAAAGATTCGTGCACACTGGAGCCGGGCCATGGAGTCGACATCCGATGCGCCGCGCCGCGCCGTGCTGCTCTGCACTGCGCTGCGCCGGGCGGAGGAGTCTGCGCGGCCGCCGCGGGCAATGGCGCCGCGTGGTGCGCAGCAGCGTCCGGCGCAGAGCGGGCCGCGCCGAACGGTGCGGGGCGACCGGCCGGCCGGCGGGCGGGCGGGCGTGGCGGGCGGGCGGGCGGCGCCCGGGCGGCGGCCGGCGCGGCCTGCGGGCTCCGGGGCCGGCGCGCACGGAGCGGAGCGGAGCGGAGCGAAGGCCAAGGCCGTGGGGCGGGGCGAGGCGGGGCGGAGGGGCTGGCGTGCGGGAGGGGAGAGGCGCGAGGCGGGAGCGGTCGGTCCCGCCGCGCCGTATCGCGAGCGCCGGCCTCCGGTCCGCCACCGCCGTCTTCGCGAGGGGGCGGGGAGCGGGCGGGGAGCGGGCCGGGAGGAGTCCCGCGCGGGGCAAAGAGGGGGGCGTCGGCCCCGCTGCGCCCCTCTCGGTCCCGCTCCGCCCCGCGCCACGCCGCTCTATATAAACGCGGCGAGACGCGTCGGGAGGAGTCACTCGCTCGCCCGCCCCGCAGTATCTCGTGCGCCCGCCCGCCGTCCGTCCGTCTCAGTGCCCGTCCGAGAGCAGCCCACCTGCTCCCACAACCCATCAACGCCGATACTTGAGGTAAGAAGCCCGCCGCCGTCGGCGGCAGCGCGCGCGCAGCTGTGTCTCCTGCGTCGCTCACGCGCGCGCATTCAGGCAGCTCCGGAGACTGCAACGCACGTGTGAGCGACGAACCCGCTGCAGTGGACCTGCGACCATGTTCTGGTTTCTTCCATTTTCAAAAGCCCGAGCCAAAACATGCAATTTTTCTTTCTAGACTTTTTATTAGCCACTTTTAATATTTAATACTAATCTTCACGAGTGCTATGCGATATATCGATGTGAAAAGTTAACTATAGGAATTAGTGTCCAAGAACCAGTTAGAAATATCTCATTATACAATAGTCAAACTTCCAAACAAATTTCTAAAGTATTAGTACAAGATGTAATAATCAAGCGATCTGAACGTTAATTTTTAACTCCCTACCCCGCCAGGGGCGAAATATAACCACAGTGACCAACTTTTTGTTTGTTCTTAATGTTTAACTGCCCGTGTTTCTTGCTAACTAAAACACGTAACCTGTCTGGTTCTTGATGATCATATTGGTGACTTACGAAATACCAGGCAAAAATGTTTCATAACAAGTGAGAAAGTTCTAAATGACTCAGTCCACTGCAGCAGGATGACTGTGAAAATTTGCACGAAAACAGGAATATTCTGAATTCTGTGTCTCGTTCGTGTAGTACGTAAACAAGCTGAGCGATAATGAATCTTATCACTAGGATAACTTTAATTTTTCAAAATCTTTCATTATCACTTAAATTCTCATTAAACATTTATCAATCACTAAGACTAAAATACGTCTAGATTATCTATTGCTCTACTTGCAAAAAACATTTTAGAACGAAAACATGTTTTACACATTTGCATACCGGTAACCATCCACACAAACAAAAGAAACAAGGACCTCAAAACTTTCCTATCTGACAAGTTAACTAACGCAGTACAATCACCGCCACGATGAAAAGAAACACGTTTAATGCGTCTCCTTCGAGCAGTTCGATGAGAAAAATAGGTCGCAAAACTGCACAAGTTTCTCCAAAGGACGCAAAAAAGGCAGCAGTAGCTTCGACGGGAGAAAGGCGCATCTGACATCAACGCCGCAGCCGCCGAAGCAGACGGCCGGGCGCCGGGCGGTATCGCTGCCTCTCTCCCCACCGCCACCACCGCCGCCTCCGCCGCCCCGCAACCGCTCGCACTCGACCGCGCCGTAAACCCTGGTTTTGCTTCCGATAGCAGGAAAATTGCGGTTTCGTTTCAAACGCCTCCCTCGTAGCGCACTTCCCTCCGCACCTGGCCGCTGATACAGATCTGCCGAGTCGCCGGCGACTTTCGCCGGCCGTTGCACCGCCCCGGGCGAACGAACACACGGACCGACGAGAGACGCGCGCGGTCGCACGAACAGGCGACGCGAGCCCGCGCTCCACGCCACCATCCCGACGACGTTGGCGACGCGGCGAAAGTACCGCCCACCACGAAGGGGTCGTTCTTAAGAAATCCCACTTCTGTAGCAACCCCAAAGTACGAAATGTGATGTGAAATTCGCGATTAATTAATATTTATGCATGTTTCTCCGAGTTATGCCGTAACTTTCCCATACGAAAATCGTGGATAGCGCCGGTCACTGCATGCGCAAGTGTCATTAGCGGTATATACGTCGTGTTGCTTGCAATTTCTAGTGTGAATCGCATATGTAATCACCAATAATTCTCACAAGAGAACCCTGACGGGCTAATAAGCTATGTAGATAAAATATATGTTACTTAGGCATGTTATTCAATTGTATCTCTACTCCTTTGTGTGCACAGACACTTCAGAGCAAGCTTAATATTTTAAAGAAAAACTTTCGACAAGGTTAAGAATGTTTAGAGATCTCAAAATCTTCCAATTATCACGGCCGATAATGCGCCATCGTGTTTTTAATAAGGAAAAGAACGCATGTCACACAGTAGATGTTCTCTGCTTAGCCTCTCTTGCCGTCGACTGGCATTGATGTCCCAACGCGTAGAGGGGGATGGACGATCGGTAGGCAACTTACACGGGCGCGCGTTAAAGCTGACTTTCACAAGGGCTAATAACATTTCATTTTTATTAACGCCTTGCTGCAGCTTTCATTCATGCCTTTCGTAGGGATATTAGTGGAATAATCTTATTATCCCTGAACATGGCAATGCTAAGCTTGCAAAAAAGATTCGAAATATCGGAAGATTCGTTGAAGTTTACGTAATTTCTACTTCGAGTTACCTTCCTCTACAGGACACCAAAAGACTTCTAGGGTCTCAAATCCATAGTTGGATGAACGTTCATACCAAAGGAAAAACTACAATCTGACGTACCAAATCACCATTTAATAGTGCTATTTAAGATAGAATTTGAATTCATGAACTACCTTAATATCCACATATATTCGAAAATATTTTTCTAAAACATAAGACCGTACATAGGCTAGCTCACTCTTTCTCCTGTAAGCTTTCTTCCAGGCTAATGCGAGCGTCCCAAACCAGTTTCTAAGGGAAAACTCATGTGCGACAATATCCGCATTCGGGTGCCTCCACACCACTCGCGGTAGAGAAACGTCCCCTGCAGGACACGGCAAATTAGTCAATTAAGACGCCAGGACCCTGGGGCGGCGCCACAACCTTACGAAATGAATTGACTAAAAAATTCGAATATATCAGAATGATCAGAAACTAGCGTTAGATAGTGAAATGTTTCGCTTTTTGAAAGGGTTGTAACAGCTGTTTAAACTTTTCTCAAACAACGTGATTTTAAGTGAACCTGCAATTGTATTATCTCTTTGGGGATATTTCATGCAGATTGTAAACAGGGCGTCCAATTCCAAGGGTAACAACTCAATTTCCCATTAAGAAAAAGTATTACACTAGAATAAGATTAACGTTAATGAAAAGCAAAGATCACAAAATAAATGCAGCAAATACAAAGCAACTAAAAAAGAAAATGCGATGAACAAGTGACAGACAAAGTGTGTAGAATAGAGAGGGAAGGGAAAGGCAAATGCAATGAAAGAGCCTATTCGTAAATACGATAAAAGAAAAGAGGGTAAAAATAAATAGAAGGAAAAATAAAGTGGCTGACGTAAAAAACGGCGGCCGTAGAAAAAGGTTAGGATTTACTACACTAATCCCGGCGCAAAACCTTTAACCGTTGAGAACGCGTTCGCAGCGGCGAACACGAGAGAAACTAACGGACTCGCGCAGAAAAACACGAAAACTCTTCGCCCCGTCGGAGGAGGAGTCGCGCATCCCAAGCACGCCGGGGCCAGGCGAGCGGGAAGAGGGCGTGGCGGGAGCCGAGGCAGGCGGAACGGAGCGGCGCGGGGCGGCGCGGTGTGGGGTGGGTTGGAGCAAAGCGGGGCGGGGCGGTTCGAGGCTGGGCCGAGAGGGGCCAGGCGGGTCGGGGGGCAAGGCGGGGTGGGGCGGGGGCGTCGAACGGAGCGAGGAGCCGAGCCACTGCCGTCCTCCCGCCGCCGACCTGCCCGGGCTGGCGACCTCGGCGCGCGCGATACATAATGGAAGCGCGTCCGAGCACGGAATGTGGAACGTTACTCCACCCGCTTGCCCGGCGGCGGTGGCGGCGGCGGCGGCCGAGGGCAACACGAGAGAACCAGAAAAAAAGAGGATCGCTGGCGGCCGCAACGGGAGCGACTCGGACGAGCGCGGCGAGGCGATGGCGGCTTCCTCCGCGGCCCTCCGGCGCACGCGGAAACGCTCGTCGCCGCGGGGCGCGTAACTGTACCGAGGCTCGAAGACCTGTCCTCGCCCCTCGGCGGGCATGGCGTGGCGCGATGCGGCGCGGTCCAGGGTCGTTGGCCCCGGCGAACCGCCGCCACCGCCCCGCTGCATCCGGGAAGCGAGAACCGGACTCCGATGACCGCAGGGGAATGACAATGTCGTCGCCGGCGGTGGACGACGCTGCCCGCAGGCAGGATGGGCACGGGTGGGGACGGCGGAGGGAGATGGCGCGTGATGAAAGGGGAGGGGGTGCGAGAGGGCAGCCACGTAAGGAGAGGGCGTATTCGCCTGAAAGGACGGATGGGCACGAAACAACGAAGGACCTTCCCAATAAGCCACAAATGGTGAACAGAGGATCAGCTAAAAGTACGCAATGATTAGGATTTTTTGTATTTTTTCAAAACAGAAACAAATATCGTATATACACTTCCATTGGCTTGACTATTATAGTCACATGCGAGAATACTGATCCTACGATGGGTAGTTTCTTGACAATTGTCATGTCATAGTAAAAATATCGTTACAGCATATATCATTACGTCGGAACTAGAGACCCAATTGTAAATGTGCTCTATTGAAAATAGGCCGTCTCATTCATCGCAAAATAAAACTTAAATGCGGAACAATAAATCTCTCACTTCCTTCCAGAACAATACAATATTTACTATTTCCTGATTTTTCATTACGCATTTTCCGTTTTGTCGCAACCTAACATTTCGCAAAACAAGTTACGTAATTGAGGAAAGTACTCTCTCACATTGTGGGCGACCGGGCTTATTTTATTTACTGGCCAATCGATGATCTTCTTTGTGTTCACACACACGTTCCCGGAAAGATGAAATGCCTACAAGCCGCTTAAACTGTTTCATCAAATCAATTAAAACTGTAAATTAAAATGTTGACAGCTCGTATACCCTTGCAATTAGATACACTAATCAATTCCTCATTGTTTCATTGCTTCCTCTGTGAGTAGTGCCACAGGAGTGAACTTTAATGTCTGGAATGTTTTCTTTCAAATGATCGACTTCAGATCACACAACTAGCTTCGGTGCTCACAGAAACATAAATTTTCCGGGGGGCACTGCTATTGACAGCCACAGTCATTTTTGACGAGGATCCTGAAGTAAAAAGCGCGGTCTTAGCAGAGTTTTCGTTTTCGGCACGAGAGTTTCAGAGAAGCTTTTACAGCCTGAAATGCCAAAACCGTGTTTGGGCGGGAAAGCAGCAACCACCTACATTTCTGGGGCAAGATAACGTCCACTTCCTCG